CCTGCAGTCCCCTGGTCAGCCCTTGTACTGGTTTGTTGCTATCACACTGTGGTTTGTGGAGGTTTTCTTGTGGACGAAGGCAGAGGGGAAAGAGTCTTTAATAAGACAAAAATAAATGATTTCCCCGCCCTTGGAAAATCAAGTAACAAAAGCCAAACTGTTTCTAGTGAATTTGTCTGACACCAATTTCTGTAATTTCAGCTTCAGTTTGCTTGGTGGAAAAGCCTCTGAAGCTGTTTTCTTTGTTGAGTGCTCATATTATGCATTAATGTGTGTAACTTCAAAGCTGCACAGCTCCTCCAGAAGCTCCCTAACTTTCCCATTAGTGACCTGTGTCCTCCCTGCCCAGAGCCCTTCCCTCTGGGTCAGTGAGTGCAGTGTTTGTTACAAACTCTGCTGCACCAAGGCTTTGCTCAAGGTGCCCAGAGCTGCCTTGCGTGATGTCTCCTACCTTGGCTTGATCTGACACCATGTCCAGAGGTGCCTCCCAGCCCCTGCTGAGGATATGGTCCCTTTGTGATGGGTCAAGTTGCTCACCTGGGCTTACATCCTCCCACCAAGCCCCCAGCTGTTGTAAGAGCAATGCCAGTGTGCTCCATTAAGAATGAGTTACACACTCGTGATTTGGTGGCTTGGACGTGATGCTTCAAATAACTCAGGCATGTTTTAAAGAAACGTAGCTTGTTGAAAGGGTATGAACTGGAAAATCGGGATAATTCTGGCTGGAGTGGCCCCCTGGTGGTCACTGAATCCAGCCTCCTGCTCAGAGTGGGGCTGTGTTTTGATGTCCTTGCCCTTTACCTGTTCTGCACGTCTTTGAGGATGGAGATCGCACAGATTCCCCAGGTCTGGGTTCTGTGTGTGACCACCCTCCTGGTGACAATATTTTCCTAACACCTGGTGGGTTTCTCCTATGTCACATAGGAGAAATCCTATGTCAGCCTCTGGTGGGATTCTCCTATTGATCCCTGCTTTCCAGGGGGCCAATCCACATCCTATGCTGGCACATGGGGTTGCTCCTCCCTGGGCACAGGACCCTTTGGCTTCGTAATGTTCCCATCACCCTGCTTCTCCAGCCTGCTTTGCTCCTGTGCATGCAGCCCCCTGCCTGCAGGGAATGATGCCCAACACCACACTGATGAAGAAGGGTACGGAGGAAGGACCAAAATGAAAACAAGAGGGTCACACGGACAAAACACCATGTGGAATCGTTAAGTCTCACTTGCCAAATCCACGAGGTTATTCAGGGTGAAACCAGCACAATGACAGCCATGGAACTGATGGCAATTTGTGCAATTATTATACAGTGAACAAACCACCATGTGGTGTTAGAGAAGGTCTGAAAAAAAAAATTAATAGGCTGTTGGTTCATATGTGAAAGTACTAAACTCATTGACTGTGATGTGTTCTAAAAACAGTGACCTGAGCCTCTGCATCGAAAATATAACACTTCCCTTAGAAAGCCTTACCCAGGTCTAAGCAGAAAGCTTTCTGGCTGATGCCCAAATACTGTTGTGTTTTTTTGTTTGTTTGTTTATTTTTTTTTTTCTAAAGTGCCATAATTATCTTTGTTTTCATTATTTTTGGTGGTAAGTTTTCCTTTTTCTTTTCCCCACTTCGGTTAAGCGGTGGTGTGTGCGCAGCTGATGATGCTGAGAACAATGGCATTCCTGTCGCCGTGAAATGATACCATGAAAAGCTTATGGGATTTTGTACATACTGGACTTACAAATCATAAATGACTTGTTCATTATTTACTCTGCGTGGGGTAAAACCTTAAACAAAAAGTTGTTCTCTGGTTCACCTCCACATCACTTGCTTTCTGCCCTCCACCTTTGCTAGCTTTCAGCTGTGGCAGCACAGATTTTTTCAACATATTTCGTGGTGCTGCTCACTGTGGTTCCGAAGCTGCTGTACAGCAGAGCTGGAACTTGCTGGATCTTGGACCAAAGTGGATGGGTTATGGGGTTTTTGTTCGATCTACAGATTTCTGTGCTGGTTTGCCCCAGGTCTCCCTGCCCTACAGAATGATTTAAATGCTGCCTTGACAGTTCAGAGCTGCTGCTTGCTTAAAAGCACTTTGCAGCCACAGGGACTGTTTCTCAGCGGTACCTAAGGGCTATAAAAAACAGAATAATCCCCCAAGTGGTTTGTGTTTAAATCCAGACACAGCCTGGATCCAGGTGAGGATTCCTTTGGGATTGGTGTCACAAGACAATTAAGATGCCAGGAAGAACAGGGGTTAAAAAGCATTGTCAGATTGTAATGGATCTGAATATAACATGCCATGATGCCAACAAGACCATGACGACATCCTCCATATCCAGCCCCACACTTGCTGGCTCCAGATCCTAAAACCTTTACTCTCGCAGTGTTTTTTTTATAGTGGGACTCTAGCAGCGAGGACTGAAGGCTGCCATGTCCGAATAAACCTCCTGAGCTCCCGGTGCTGGATGGAAAGAGGCCAGCTGGGGAGTTTGCTCAAAGCCTTTCCTCGTTGGCTTTCCTCATTGTCGTTCCCCACACAGGATACACAAACCCCTGGAGGGGGGAGGAATAATTTCTCCTCCACAAGAGTTATCCGTGGGGCTGCAGCCAGGGAGATGAATTTCGGGACAGACGTAAGCAGGAAGGTGCGATCCAGTGCACACACGCGTAACGAGGAGGCAGCAGCTGGAGAGGCTGCAGGGCGACGGGGGAACATCTGGAAGCGATGGGGACTGCAGCCCAAGTGGGACAGCGTGACGCCGAGAGCTTTCTGGGCTGGCTCCACAGCCGAGCTGTGTTTGGGATAAGGGAGGTGGCTGCAGCGGGTGCTGAGGTCTGAAGCACACTGTGTTGAATCCAGCCTCTGGTAATGCTCCCCACCGCTGATACCGAGGGGCTGGAGCGGGTCCAGATTGATATGGATAACGCATGGCTGGTTGCTGTGAGTTAACAGCCCCTACTTTTAGTAGGGAACCCCTACTTTTAGGAACCCCCACATTTGGGAACGTTTGCTGCTCAAATCCCGGCTCTCCCTTCTCCTCCAGAGGCTGATGTAGGCATTTAAACCAGCTCCGCTCCTGATTTAAGGTATTGCCCCAGATTAGGGATAAAAGGATTTAGGACGGGATCGTGGGATGTCTCTGGTGCAATGCCCTGCACCAGTCAGAGCAATCTGCTCAGGGCTTTGTCCAGCTGAACGCAAGGGTTTGGCCCCAGGATGAAGAGGCCACAACCTCCCCAGACAGCCCACTTGTGATCACTGACCACCTGTACAGCGACTTTTTTCCTTTGATTTAATTGCCATTTCCCACCTTGCAACTCACCTCCGTTGCCTCTCGGTGCAAACGGTAACATTAATTATTAATTAACCAAACCCCTGGGTTAATACCCCGAGGGCAGCACGTCCCTTGGTAACCAGCCACCGGGCTTTAATTTGCTGGCACCGGAGGAGTGGAGGACACGAAGCATTCCTGTTTTTTCCAGCTCTGAACACCACAGCAGGGCCTCCGTGTCAGCCAAGCAGTGGAGCCTGGGTTATCCCATCCCCTCGGTACCTCTCCCACAAAGATTTTCTGCATGGGGCCAGCGGTGGCCCCAGGAACACCTGCATTTTCGCCAGGCGATGAATCCATCCCCATACAAAGCCCATTTGCAGTGGTTGAAGGCGCCCCTGGAAGCCTTGGGGATGAAAAGCCCTGCAAAGACCGGAGTTGTTTATTATTATGATTGCTAAAATAAAACTTTAAGACATCTTAATGTAAAGGGCTCGTTGGAAGGTTTACAATTAGGGGTGTTTTATGAGGGGAGAAATTATTTCCAAGAACCAAATTACAGCAAGTCCCCCTCAGGACAAGGCAAAAGAAGAGTTCAAGTGTATTACAAAATCAGCATGGCTATAGCTTTCTAAGCTTTTAAGATCCCTTGATATCGGGGGAAAGGGGAAAGGAGAGTCAGGCAGCCAGAAGAGGAATTTGTCTCTATTGGGAAACCATTACAAGGATGCAATGTGGTGGCTGGGACCCAGGCAGAATTTGAATGTCATCCCTTTTCTATAAATCATGCAGAAGCATCGTCACATGTTAAAACACGGAGCCCAGAGGGAAGTATTTTCTCGCTCTGTTGAGCTGGGATGTAGTGTTGGGGACTGGAATTCAAGGGTCCCAGGCAGAGGGGTCCCGGGTGGTGTGTCCCAGCTGCTGGGGAGCAAAGGGATGAGGATGCTGCACTGGGAACATGTCTCAAGGCTTTGCTTTGAGGGTTGTCCTGGCCATATATAACGCCCAGCAGGAAAATGGGATCTTCACCATGGGTCACATTTCCTCTCTAGAGCATGGGTGGAGAGGCTGCCACCTAGACCCAGAGTCATAGGACTGCGCTGGTGTCAAATAATAGTGATGCAACTCAAACAGAAAGCTTTAGGGGCAAAAAATTGGAGTTTCCTGCGGAAATTCAAGGTGAGCAAAGGCCAGTGGGCACATCCCATGCAGCTTTCAGCAGTGATGCCACCCGGTGCTCAGTCTGCATGCTGTACAAGTAGCTCTTGTATTACCATCGTGCTGCCCCGCACACTGTCCTGCAGGAGATGGGGAGGTGCTGCAGGCTCCCGGTGGTCTCTGCTTATAAGGTTTTGGGAGCCTGGCTCCACGGAGGTGTGCAGTTCTGGTTTTACTGACAAAATCATGCTCACAAAAACCCTGTTGAGAGCTTGGCTGTACTTGTAGCTGGGCCCAGCCCTCCTCTGCCAGCCCCAGTACAAATGTCTTGCCCTGTTAGAGTCTCCCAAAATGTTGGGAAATGTCAAGGCCCCTTTCTGCTAAGCACTGTATCAGAGACGCATCCCTTACTCAGTGTCTGTGGTGTGAACAGCCAGTGTGAGCAATATGTGTAATCCGTTCCTACCTTATTTACACAGCCTGCCCCCTGTGCATGAACCAGGGAAGAAAACTGATGGAAGGGAGAAAAATTGGTTGCTAATTAGCAATTACTTCATTAATAGAAGACATCTGCTTCACATTAGGCAGGCGGAGATGAAGGAGGCTGAATCTCACATCCTCAGTGACTAGCTGGGACAGTCAGTGTGCTCTGAGGAGCTGGGGGCTTGTTCCTGTGGGCTCAGAGTACAAAGTCTGAGCCACTTTTGAAAGCAAGAAATGGCTGTCATTAAGGAAAAACGGTGAAAATGTTTTTCGTTGTTTGCTGGTTGTTTTGGCTTTTGTGATATATATATATATATATATATATATATATATATATATATATATATATATATATTTATCCCAATAATCTTGCAGGCATTCCTGAGGTCACTTCAGAGGGAGGTGTGATTCTCCCTTGCAGAGCAGAACCAAGAGCCCAGGAAGGTAGCAAGGATGAAGGGAATGAGCTGTGGGGACGGGATTACCTCCAGGAGAGGGGCTGGAGGAATGCCAACAGCTAAATGACCGAACCACCTTCAAAGGAATTTGGAAGATCGCCTTCCCCAGCCACCAGGCTGCTTTGGGAGATGCCTTTCACTGTGTTGGGGTGAATATCACCGAGCAGGAACAGGAAGAAGACTCCAGCCCTTCTGACACAGCAGAGGTTTCCTCCTAGAAGACAGGGATAAGGAGGGCAGAGGGCTTCATGTGGGCCACTGTGGGACTGTAACACCACGAAGGCCAACGGTGAGCTCCTTGGGCATGGCCTGGGCAGCACTGAGCAGAAGGTGTTGGGCAAGTCCTTGAAGTCTGAGTTTCTGCGAGAGAATTTGGATTTTTTTTTTTTTTTTTGGTCAGAGAATTGTGTGCAGGGTGGACAAGGAAACAAATACGTCCGAGAGAATCAACAGTTTGGGAATATGCAAGTTAACTTTCCATGGCTGTGTTTCTTTGAAGGTATCCCCTTCCCCTAAATTTTCCTTTGCTCCTCTCAGTTGTGTTTCTGTCCAAACTTTCTTCCCCTCCAAAAGCTGGAATACTTTCATTATATTGAAATTAAATGGAAAAAAATATATATCCCCAACTAAATCTGAAAGTGATCAAAAAATTTAATACAAAAAGCCATTTTTCCTTGAAAACAATTCAGCTGGCTGGGATCAAATCTTCTCCTGTTGAAACAGCAAAATTCCCCTTGGTTTCAGGAACCGTGGGGTGGGTGCTTGGCAGATTTTGGTGCCCACAAGGGCAACAGACTCCTAATTTCATCAGTTGCAGAACTCTTTTCCCTGATCACCACATGGGTTTTCTGCCTATGGATTAGGCACATTTGGATTTTGGAGCTCGTCTACCAGGCACGATTGACCAGAATAATATAATAAGAGTTGCTCCGGAGCTGCTGCTCATCTGAACTCTATTTAGGAATCAAAGAGAGCATACTCCAGAGCAATTATTTTGCTTTGGAGGAGAGTATTAATTATCCCCACTGTAAAATGACTCTTATTGTGGAAGACAGTGGTCTGTGCAGGGAGCTATTCCAGAGCAGTTATTGTGGAATAGCTTATTCTGCAATAGCTATTCTGGTCAAGTTCCCTGCGTCGGCAAGCCTGGAGCCTCCGCTGCAGCACGCTGCACACGCAGCCGCTGGCTTCACGGGCTGGTATGCGGCTGCGAGCTGACGGCCCCAATAATGCTCTGATCCTGCTTGCCTCTGAGTGAGGAAGGCAGGAACTGCTCTTAGAGCTCTGTTACTGCCGCCACCGCCTGGATTTTTTTTACCTCCGTTAGGTGTCATGCATTCCCTTCTGATATCTCCGTGCAGGTAGGCGGTGTTGCTCGCCCCTTCTCCAAGGAAAAGTTGAGTTTTGCCGTGTTTTATCAACATTTCCCAACTTTCTCAACTTTAGGGGTGTTTTATTGACATTTCTCAACTTTCTCAACTTTAGGGGATTTATCCCTCTGCCCAAACGGATGCACACAGTTTTGTTTTATTTTTATTCTCAGCGCTGGATTTCCTTTTTTTTCCCCCCAGATGGACAATGAGGTGAAACCACAGCAGGTCCCCGTGGGCTCTCACTAGGGCAAGACACATCCCTGTATGTCATTGCCCCATCTGTACTGGCTTCCCAGGCAGCCTTCAGCCGGCGTGACAGGGTTTTCCTGCCCGAGCCAACTTGAATCAATGTGGAGCGTAAGATTTCAGGAGACAGTATCAAGCCCTTCAGTAAAATCCAAATAGATTGCAGCTGCTCTGCGCTACATTAGCCCCTTAATTTTGCAATTCTGTCCCAAAAAACTGGGGGGAAGGGCAAAGAAAGCTGGAGTCTGATGGGATTTTGATTCCGCAAAATCAAACGCGAGTCAGAGGAAGTACTTTCCTCGGGCAGGTCGGCATGGCAGATTTTCCATGTCTGTAACATGGGCTTCTTTCGCTACCCCTGCAAGCCCCTTTTATCCATAATTAATGATTGGCTTCTTCCCTGAATTGGAATTATCTGGGTTTTCCATGGCTAGTATAAAATTTTCTGAAGCAAATTTTGGCTCTTAAGGCTCCTGTTGGCTTCCAGAGGGACTTCTGTTCCACAGGGAAGCGTTCTTCAAAACAGTTAAACGTAAAAAAAATAATAACAAAAAATCCACTGCAGCCCCAAAACAAATGATATATAACTAGGTCTGTACTGAGCCAGTTTGGTGTCATAGATCAAGAGGGGGCCCTGGAGATGCACCAGCCCTGCACGTTTCAGCACAACGTGACGTTTCCTGGAAATTGCTGTCCCTCCAGCCTGCAGGGCATCTCTGGTGTTGGGGAATCCCAGAGAAATGCCCGTGGGTGTTGGCTATGGGTGGTGGCGGGGTTTATCACTTTCAGATCAGCTGGCAGTGTTTGTCTACACACATCTGAGATAATTTCCCCTCCCACCCTATCCTCCCAGCCTTCGTTAACAAAAACTTCCAGAGATCTAATCCCGAAATACTGGGTGCTCTTCAGGACTCTGCCAGCCATTGACCTCAAGAGTGTTGTGGACACAAAAGAGTGAACCTTGCATCTTGTATGTTCCTTTTTATTTTTTATTTTATTTTATTTTATTTTATTTTATTTTATTTTATTTTATTTTATTTTATTTTATTTTATTTTATTTTATTTTATTTTATTTTATTTTATTTTATTTTATTTTATTATTTTATTATTTTTCAGTTTAAGTGATGTTGACTGCCTGTTGTCCTTCTAATGGATCTTGGCTCTGTTGTCCTCCAGCTGCTTAATGAACTCTCTTCACTCAGTCATTGCTGTGTTTCTTTGTTCCCCTCATTAGATGGGTTTTGGTCTTGTAATGATCTTTGGTATTTGCTGTTCACCACCTTTAAGTGTGTCCTGGTCTTCAAGTTCATGTTTGAAAACCAAACCAGAAACAAGCATCTCAATGGTATTAACAAGCCAGTTAAGTCCTCCACGGGGGTAAGAGAAGAGCAGCTGAGCAAGCTTATTAGTGTGTGTTTGCCTTTTCCAGCAAAGAAGAAATTTCCTTTTCCCTATGAAGCTGGTTGGCAGTTGCCCTTTTCTGCTAAAATACCAGCCATGTGCCATAAAAGAATAATTCTCCAGAGGACATCCAAAGTGGTGAACTTACTGGGAGGTTATTGAGTCACTAAGGTGTTGTGGAAGGTCAGTAAAGTGTCCGTGCATCACCTATGGCAACTGAGAGGTTAAAGGGATTAAAAGTGCCAGGTGTAATAGAGAGTGAAGCCCCTAAAAGAGTCCCTGACCCATCAAGGTGTTTGGCCACGTGTGTGATGCTGTGCTTGTAGCCCAGCTGGGGGACCTACGCCAGTTCGGGTCCCTGGCTGAAGCAGGGCTTGCACTTGGTACCGTCCCAGCCGAAGGAACCCGCAGCCCAAAGCAGATATTTCCGTGCACAATGCCTGTGGCTCGGCAGCAATGAAGATGTAACTGAAGCCGGGAGCTTGCTCGAGCCCATGTAGGAAATTGGATGTTTGCCATTGTTTCTGCCGAGCGGGGCCAGGCCGTGGTTGCACGCTTCGGCATCGCGCGGGCTGCTGTGCTGATCTCAGGGCTTTCTCAGTGCAGACCGTATCAGAGTGGGGAGGGAAAGAGATTAAAGATAAAACCTTGGGAGCTGATTTCTGGGAAGCTGCTGCATTCATCTTGCCTTCCTCTGAACCACAACATCTCACAGAAACTCCACATGGGAGCACTGAGATGTCTTTGCCACCTACTGTCACGAGATACCCTCAGCAGCCAAACCCCTCTTTGGTGCTCATTCTCTCTTCCTCCAAAAAAAGAACAAAACCCTCAATAAAACCAGATTTCCTTTCCATGTTCCCAAATCCAATATATAGTTTTAAGCAGAAGGGCTCCTTCCCACTGTATTCTGTATGTATAACCCAAGAAAGAAGGTTCTGTTAGAACATTTCTTAATATTAATACCTGGAACACATCTGAAAAAAAAAAGTTTCTTTTTTTTCTGTTCAAAAAGAACAGCAAAAATTCAAAAGGATTTTTTTTCCCCTTACTTCTGATAAAATTGAATAGTAAAGGAAGAAATGAATACCTTATGTCAAACTCAGAGGAGGATCCAGGCTGCCTTTCTGCTGTCTCTAGCTCTGGTACTGACTGTGCATGGGAACCTTGCTTAGGTGGGACCCTGTACGAGGAGAAGGCGCCTTGCTTCCCTCAAGCTCTTGGCAAACTCAAGCTTGTCTTCTCTGTGCCTCGGTTTGCCTGTCTCCAAAGCATAGGTAGTGCCACAAACCCAGCTCAGCTCCAAATGTTCAACTGAGGCCAACCAAAACAGCTCTAGTACAGTCAATGTTGGCCATATACTCATCTGCTTGCATTGCTTATAGCTTTTATCCTGCTCATGTCATCTCTCCCCTAGTGATTTATTTTTCCCTTCATGCTGTCACATCCTGATTTATGTCTTTGCTGCTGATGGCAAGGCCTTGGCTAGATGCTCTGCAACTGGTGTGCTCTATGCTATGGTGAAGGTAATTAACAGTAGCAGAGACCAAGAGGTTAATTCCAAGCTCCTTTCCTCTGCCTGGACAGAGCATAAATCCTCTCTAAAAACAATTGTGCAAGCAGCTGCCACTTAGTATAGAAATTAATAATTCTGGGGTTAAGAAAGCAATATATATATATATGTATATATCCAGAGCATAACAGCAGAGGTAATATTTAAAGCTATTTTTGTGGTTTTGGCATTAAACCTTCTATGTAGAGACTTAAATATTGATTATCTCAGTCCATTTTCATTCAGAACTCAGCATGCATGTCCTGAAGGGAGCAAAAATCTCTAAAATGGACTTTTTTTTTTTTTTCAGATGGATGGAGAAATATTAAGTGTGTGTTTTACTTTTTTTATTACCCTGGTTTTAATTAGTATTATGTTTCTAGTAAGGGGAGTGAATAATATTTCCCTGATTGGCACTCTGTTTAATTAAGCAAACTGCTTGCTCTTAAATCAAACTCACTTGGCTCCTCCTGAGATTTACAGATTTTAGCTGCAGTCCATGAAAGGGCTGATGACTGGTACCATCAGAAGGGGGCAAAATTTGTATGGTGAAGTGAGGTTTTTCCTTACTCCCATAACAGTTTCAGTTCATGAGCAGGACTACCTTGTGCAGAGGTTTGGGTTAGCTAGCGCATGGGTATATAGCATGGGAGACCTTGCACAAGGGGCAGAAGATACATTTCCATCCCACTGGCTTGAAACCTGAAAGTCAGATCAGGTAGGAGCCAGCACAGACCCCAGTGAGCAATGGGAAGACACTGGGATGTATCCAGCATTTTTAGAAGATCCCACTGCTGCTGTAGGATCCCTGTTTATAGTGCAGCTGTGGTGCCTTTTGTTCAGTCTGTCTCACCTGGCAGTTGGCTCAGTAGTTTCCTTGCTCATCAATTAATGAAAAATTTACCTCATTAGGTGCAGATGACTGTTTTATAAAACACCAGGAAAAGAAATAGGACCTGGGCTGCATAGTCCGTGGGTTACCACTGATGGCCCAGAGCCAAGGTTAGGGTGCAAGTGTAACCCCAATGATCTGGTTCCTGCCATGGGGATGAGGAACAGTTCAGAGCAATGGTCACAGGGCCTGGGTGGTGTTCAGCAGGGTTCAGGTGGTGTTCAGCTGGGCTTGGGTGGTGTTAAACAGATCTGCAGCCCTCAGCACTGGAGAGGCTGGAGCATTGCCCTGTCATGCTCACCAAAACCCCAGCTGAAATGGCTTATAAGGCCAGGCTGGATGGGGCTTTGGGCAGCCTGACCCAGTGGGAGATGTCCCTGTCCATGGCAGGGGGTTGGAACTGGATGGGCTTTAAGGGCCCTTCCAACCCAAACCATTCTGTTATTCTGTGATTCACCCAATAATTGCAACTGGGCCTCACCTGGAGAGGCTCAGCTCCAAACCCCAGAGCCCTGGTAGGATGTAACTGGGGCAGTTTACTTCTGTGGTGCAGATCTTAATTGGAAAAGCTCTAAAGCAGCTGCAAATTGAACATGCTGGGTAGTAAATGGAGACTGAAAGCGTGTGGGAGATTGCACCAGCATCAGGCAGCTGGCCAGGCAGAGCGTGGGCTGGCACGGACGGATCCCTGTCAGGACATGAGTAGTGACAGTGAGGTGGGAAATTTGAAACGTGAAGGATGGATTTGGTGGAAGAGCTGAGGATCAGGAGCAGCAGCAGGTGATACAGCAGCAGCAAACCATCAGGGTCTGACCAAAGGGGTTTTACAAAAGGAGCAAGCCTTTTGTAAATGGTTTCCTTAATGGTCTTGGCACAGAAAGCCGCTGCCTGTTGGGGCTCAGGGGTATGATAAATGTGTCATGAGAACAAGATATCCTCTGGTCCTGCCTCCCAATGGGGTTGTAGAGTCCCCACGTAACTCCTGTGCTGTCACTGACACCGTCCTTGCTAGCAAGGGGAAATCATCCCACAGGTGCTGCTTGGCAAGCCCGGCCCTCCCAGCCCCTCTCTTCCAGCAGCTGCACGCGCGCTTACCTTCAAGCACGCATGTAGCTGCACGTCTCATTTTAATTACACTCCTGTGAAAATTTCTGCTGGACCCAGGGACTTAATCCCGCAAACCTCGCTGATCGCATCGCTGTACGTGTGAATTTATGCTTGCAGGATTAAACCCTGCCTTCAGCTATGGAGCAAAGTAATTGTTGTAAGGAGAAAATGTGCAGGGGTGGGGGAAGAAGGGCAAGGTTAAAAAACTTGTGCCAGAAGTGAAAGAAGATCTTTCACTGCTGGTAAGTATGGATTTCTGTCACCAGGGCTTTTTGCTGGGGAAGCTGCTGTCCCAGGCTCCTTGCTTACGAGGCAGACGATGATTTACTCTGTGTGACACAGAGAAGGAAATGAAACCTGATTTTAATTCCAGCTGCGTGTGCCAGAAGCGCTTTCCCCGGAGTCCGTGCAGTCCATCGCTCTGGTTTGTGAATACCCTGATAGCTGCCAAGCAGGGCTGCACGGTGCTGGGCACAGGAGCAGGCCCTGCCGTGGCCAGGAGGTGATGATCACTTGAGCTGACCCCAGCCCAAACCAGCCGGGAACACAAAAACCCTAAAATTTTACCTGCTGAGGGCATTATTTGCTGTTGTAAATGATCACAATCCTCTTGCAGTCAACTGAATCACAGAATCACAGAATTGTAGGGGTTGGAAGGGACCTTCAAAGATCTTCGGGTCCACCCCCAAAAATCAAGACCAGACCATTTTTCTCTTTTCCCTTCCTTCCTTAACAGTAAGGAAATAAAGTGGGATTTCCATGGAGCAGTTTGGGGTCTGGCCTGTCACCCTCTCTGCTCAGCAGAAGTTCATCATTTGCCTTCAATATGTTTTTGAGCAGCTAACAGACTTGGGATGGGCATTGCAAATGTACAGAGCATCACTACACTGCTTTAGCTGTGATGGTCTAAGGCTATGTGTAAAGCAAAGCTGGAATTGTCATTCGTTTCACCTGAATGTTTGGGATTTGGGGAGAAACAGGAGAAACTCTTGGAAACACAGAGCTTTCTTTCTCCCTGAATCTATGTCTTCAGATACGGTC